GGAAACAAGAGGGGAAAGAGGAAGGAGAAGAAGAAGAAGAAGAAGGAGCAAGTGTTCGTGTGGCCGGGAAATATCGACGGTCATCGTTCGGAAAGAATGGCCGTTCAATGACACGTGAAAATCCCTGCCGGCTACTATCTATCGTCGTCCATCCAATGAAGATCTCTAAGACCCGACAACGGTTAACGATAGAATTGACAGGGGATCTTGATAGAACCGAAGAATTTAGTGGGACTAGTCTGTTGATTCGTTTTAATTGATATATCCAGTGATTGGTGCGAGATACGAACACGATTCTTGGTCCTACTTTTCTGGAGAAAAGAGAGATGGTAGGTTTCGAACGTTGTGTGTTGTGGTTTTTTTGGGGGGAGTGTGATTGGGGAAATAGAGAGGGACTTGGTGATGGAGAATTCAGTTTGAGTCGACTGATTGGGTAATTTTTGTTGCTATTTGTGTGTTGAGAGTATGTTGAGTATCTTTCTATTGTATTTTCAGATGCTTAACATTCATATTTTGGAAAGTTTTTAAGTTAAAGTGTTGAAATTTTGTGGGAGTTGCTTGCTGAGGAGAGATTATTTGAGATTTTGAATTTACAGAGTGCTTTTCTGATGTGCTTAGCTAGTTTAATTACAATTCTTGAAACAGTGTTACTAGCTTAATTCTTGCAGTCATGTACAGGGTACTTCGAAACAAATGTTGAGAAACAGAATGAACTACTTGCTCAACATCATTATCAACACATTCCTTGAATTTTCTCTAGGTGAATTCAACAATTCGAAGGCACATTTCTTTTGGTATTATTGCAATCACAGCTGAAAAATTTTCTGTCTGAAATCTAAACTATGTAAATGTGCAAATTCTCCATATAAATGTTAACACTTTTTTGAAGCACCTGTATAGCAAAGTGTACTAATAACTCTATCAGACACATCCTACTCAGTACGCCAACAGAAAAGACAATTTGATAGAATAACCATATTTTTCTAATCCTAAACCCTATTTGATCACATAAATTACAAATCTTCGTTGCACACAACCATTCATCGAGTTACCTTAAAATCCCTGACATTTAACAATCGAAAGTAGCAATATAAGTGTGACACAATAACATTTAATTATTCACCTCGCTATTTTTTATACAAAAAAACTTGATATTTCAATAAAAATACATTATCGACGACAGCATATGATAATAAATACACATTATCGATGAAAAATGCTATCGGTAAAACAGTATCCAGAAAATATTTGTCGATGATTTCAAGAAAATCCCCCCTAATTCGTCTCCGGCTCGCGCAAGAAACTGAAACACCTCGCAGCCACCTCAAGATAAGAAACTCGGTTCTTCGAAACCGTGGCTGTATCCCGGCAGCAGTAAGAAATTCCGCAAATCGTCCACGGTGGCAAATATTCCACGATTTATCGGGGGAATGGCTCGCGCACGTTCGCCAGATCTGTCCTCCTCGTTGGATTTTCTTTCGTAAGAAACTGGCAGAAACGGGTGGACGAGCCGCGGAGCCACTCGAAGCGTGTACACGTTGGGATCGTGTCTACGTTGCGAGTGCCTCGGCCCCTTGTCAGGAAGAGGTCTCGAGGCGAGAAAGAGATTTACCGTGGCCTGTTGGAACGGTCCCTCGGACTCCTCGGGGACCCTATTCTACGCCAATCGAGTCTCGTTCTTCTTGGTGTCACGTCGAGTTCTCGCCGCCGAAGAGGAGTCAACTGTTACGCCACGCGTTGCCTTCATTACCATATCTCAGATGCAATCTGTTCCCGGGAATTAATGCGCACTGATATTTCCTGCTAGCTCAGATCCTCCCCGAACCACCGGGCCCTGCGAACGGCTAGCAATGACGTTTTCAATGACCAAGGACGCGAGAGTAGGTCTCGTGCTTTCGTATTATGTAGGATTCTGAGTATTTCAGTTCTCCTATTCTTAAGTATTTCTAGACGGGAGTATGAATTTTGGAACTGTTGCGGTTAATACGATATTAGGTCGTACCATAAGTTCGTGACGAAAGCACAAAATATTTTAATGAAAATTTTAATGGTCTTCCAAAAAAAAAAAAAAATAAAATTACGCATAAATTT